TTTGTGATAGCATTATATTAATATATATTTATTTATTTTTATAGATTTTTGTTTTGTTCATTGGATATTTATACACATTGTACATTTATTGGACACCATATAATTCGTTTCATTTTGGTTATACGTCGTTTGTTATGTGGTTCTATATTAGTCTGTACATTTCTAATATATTAGGAGCCTACAAAATACTTGTATTTATATCATTACAAATACTATGCTTAGTAGGATTTATATATGAAGTAATACTTATAATGGAAACTCAAGAGTTAGAAGGCAATAATATGACATTCATGGAAGCAACACGCATTGCACTTACAAATAATTTGGTTGCAAATGTTCAGAAGGATACATTAACTCCACTAACTAGTGATGAATCCATAGAAAATATTGGAACTGAAGCAAAAATCACAGATGTGCAGTTTGGAGACAGTAGCCAAGACGTTGTAAGACCACTATCTGCTCCAGTAAAAACAAGTAGTGAATTCAATCCAAAAGTATATAAAAAATCATTGTCATTGGATACTGATGTTAATACTGCTTTACTAAGTCGCAAATCACAATTTCCAAAAAGTAATCGCTACATATTAAGGCGATTGAAAACTGAATTAAAAATATCTATAGATGTGGAAGACAATAAAGTTGATACTGACATATACATGTATGGTGCACTGTATGCATGCATTGGTATGGTTTTGTGGAAACATAAATGGATGATATATATTTTAATGATTCCAACAGCTTTTTATATTATCAAACAACTTGCTAATTATTTTGGATTATGGAAAATGGTAATGAAACAATATAATATTATAATGCAAATTACAATGACCTGGTTTATGGAAAGACATCAGGCCCTTTTGCCAGCCAATGTTAGAGGATTATACAAACTTGTAATTGTAATTGACAAGAAATTAACAAAAGCTTTAAAAGCATCAGTCGATACAATGGCAACAATTGCTGTGATCCTTGGTTTACTTATATTTACTATTTCTGCATCTATTTTCATAACAATACAGGTATGACAAATATGTTAATTAAATTTAAAAACTAAGTGATTTGTTGAACTTTTCAATAAAATATGATCACTTATTACAGGTTTATACAGAGGGCATGTATCTTATTCAAATTACTGGAGAAATTCTTAATTCATCATTGATGAATAATCCAGACATAGATTGGCTACCCGAACAATGGGAAGGCTCAGTCAATAGTGTATTAGATAATGCATATACATATGGGCGAAGTGCCATTTCCGATGGAGTAAGAAAAGCAAACTTTTCTCTAGTTCATAAATATATTTTTATAATATTCATAATACATGATTTAGGTAAAAGGTATGATGAAAGATTTAGACCCCATAAAGGCAGAACAAATGGAGAAAAAGGTTTTAGAACTCTGGGATAAATTATATCAAGCATGGATGATGTCCAATGAAAGTTCAGATTTACTTGAATCTAGTGTGGATGTTGCAGGGACCCATTCAGTTTGGGAAAGCTTTACCGAAGTCTTTGAAAAAACGCCTTTACGTAAGATTTCTCACACAGAACAAACAAATGTGTATAAAATAGAAACTATATGTAAACATGATATATTTTATATTTGTAGAACTATTTAATATGGACAGCATACAAAATTTTATAAAAGAGAACATTGGAATTTTCACATCAGTTCTTGATTCTATTTGGAGTATACTTAAGGGCAACATGTCTGTGATACTAACTATTTGTACAGAGTTATTTTATATCGTACTCATGAGCGGATCAGCTGTTCTTAATTTTGCTCTCAGCATGGTACATAATAAAAATACGTTAATTTTTTAAGTAATTGAAGCCCTCTTTCACTGGTAAAATTTTTAACATTTTTAGGTAGTCTTCTTCACAACACTCTTTTATCTCCTTAGTTCTAGCAAGAAGAGTTACAAACCCATTGAATTAACCACATTATTTAATCCTATTAGTTGTCACAGGTAACTATTACGAATTTTTTATGAATGTATTTTATAGGATTACCTTATAAAATGATCATTATCGGAAATATATTTTTTATTAACAAGCACTCTTTATGTCGAGGGGTATGTTAAACTATAAAAGTATAAACAGTAAATGAAACAGCACAAATATTACAGAAGAATGTATTTTTTAGATATGCTGTGGCCTTACAAGAAGCAGTAATTGGAGTATTTGCTGCGACATTTAAACTCGCTTCCTTTTTTGGCATGTGGACATGGTTTATACATAACTTATTTCAAGTAAAAATTGTCTACCTGCCAGCTACTTTTGCAACAATACTTGGGGCTGTGCCATTTTTAGATGCATATTTTGCGTGCATTCCGGCTACTTTGGAACTCTGGATGACTCGCGGATCCATGGTTGCTATCTTATTTTTCATGTTCCATTTTATTGCATGCAACGTGGTAGTAACAGAATTTTACAAAGAAATCAAAGGGTATGATAATTTTATTAATTTGTATAAAAATATTTTTTATGAGAATTATCATTTTTCGATACAAATTTTATATAATCGAATGAACCAATCTTTGTTGTAGTGGTGGACATCCTTACCTTACAGGTCTTTCAATAGCAGGTGGTATCTTTTGTCTAGGGGTGGAAGGTGCAATTTTTGGTCCATTACTGTTATGTTGCATTATGGTAGCAATTAATTTGAGTCGTCGCTATCTAAACTCACCTTCGGACGAAGTTAAACCTGAGCATTCTGAAATAAAACATTAACCTAGGTGAGATATGTAATCATTAGAGGTTCTCAATATTTCGTTTTCGGATTAGGCTGGAAATTTTGCACGAGATCGGGTCAAGTTCCGAAGATATTCGGGGATCGAAAATAACGGGATATAGCCCTAGTAAATATAAGTCAATTTTTGAATAAATAATCCAAAAATC